TAAAGACAAAATTTCTTCCCCATGATTTTTTCAGAGCCATGCTTCTCTAAAGTAGTCAAGGAATTTGCTGTACTGTGTGTTTTGGATGGAAAAGAAAGCTTGCAGGCCTGTAGTGAATGCTGAGGCACAAGCCCAGACCTAAATCTAGCTCAGATCTGGGGAAGATAAAGCAGCACACTGCTTTTATTTCTGTCACAGTGATGTTATACGGATTGCAATCAGGACTGTACAAAGAGCTGGATGTGCCACACTGGATGCATAGTCAGAGCTCTGGCCCTGAGGAGACTTCTGCCTTGCCAGTCAAAAGTTGGAAGGGGGGAGATGAAGGGAGATGCTTCGGGGAGAAAAAAAATTCAGTCAGTAGCATGAAGGCAGGTGTTTCAGTGCATTGGATCTCATTGCTTCTCACATGTGGGCAGGCAGCAGATAAAACCCTAAACGAAGTATTTAAGACAGTCCAAGACAGGTATGATTTAGCCATAACTTCAATTCCCCTGAACTATTTTACATATTAAAGATGAACATCAAGCTAAAGCAAAGAAAAGCAGCATACGCTCTCACTAGAGGGAAGCAGCAGTAACATCACGGGGAAGGACCCAGCTAGACGCAGGAGGTAAACGAGAAAGAAGGAGGGATGAAAACTGAAGTAGGCATTCATCTCTGGATAGATTTGTTTCGGCAGTAGGTAAAAATCAATCTTCCCGAGGCTACGAAATAGAACTGTCCTCTGTATGTGGTTAGACTTTATCAGATCATCCAGGTAATAAATCAAACTAGGAAATTCTTCATGAGCTACATGGAGACAAACATTTAACAGCATCTCTGGGTAATTAGGCAGCCTTCAGACCTGCAGCTGAACACAAAATCCAGTGGCCCAAATCATTATCTGTTGTGAATTAAGGAAGTACCCTTAGCTTTAATGAAGCTGTCTTCATTTATGTAAAAGCATGGATCTTGTTTATCCAGCATTTGCCTGTGCTTAAGTGATCGAGGAACATGGTAAAAAAGTCCCCGTGAATCCCAAGATGGGAAATTTTAGACCTATCGAATAGTAAAGTGAGTACGAAATCAACAGGCAAGTTCAGTCCTTCTTGTCCAACGCTTTTTTCTTAACTCACTTTTTCTTAACCCATTGTTTGAACGCTCACTCCACTGCTCTCAAGGAACAGTAAATCACCACTAAGTACAGAACAGATACTCCTGTCCTCTGAGTCTCACACCACAGGTAGCAATATCCTCCAAAGTCCCTGCTCTCGATGCAAAGTGATTGTCTTCACCGTATGAGCAGCTGCAGCCCAACAGCAACTATGCTGGGTTGATTTTTTTTTTCCTTTCTTTTTTCTTTTTAAATACTGAGAAGTTTGCAATCTATCTTCAACTCATCTGTGCGATAAGCTTCGAGCTGTCCAAATCTTAAAAGACAGAGGAATGAGACTACTTCCAGCTTCGAGTTGAATAGACAGCGTTTAATATCACTTGCCTTTGAATGGGTTTTCTTTCCCACCCAAGCACAAGCTAAGCCCTTACTAAAGCCTGAGGGGTGGTTTCTCAAAGCAATATTTTTCACTACTTTCTGAAGAGGTGAATAACTAATCGTGTCAAAGCCCATAGCACCTCGGAGAAGTTATTCCACTCCTGGCCCCAGACACAGGTTGCCTGCATGGGCTAGTTCTGAGCTCAGCAGATTAACAACGGCCCTTCCCTAAAGGGCATCGGACACGCAAGCATCAGGATGCTGGGCCGTTGTATAACATGTAAATGAAAAGACAACGCTGACCAAAGGCCAGAATTTGAGGCCCTGCTTTTAACAAAGATAACAAATAAGAAAGAGACAGAGGCTTAGAAACAGCTGAGCATTGCCTGGAGCTCTTCCTTGGGGACCCTCTCATGCTTTTCGGTGTAATTTAGAAGGCAGAAAGCACAGGATCTTTTTTTGTGTTGAGTGCTATCTAGGCAGAGTAGATGCAGCCCCTACTCCAAAATGATTATGATCTAAGTGAATAAAAGAAGAAGAAAAGCATTATTTCCTCTACTTCAGAGATAGGGAAGATACGCTTCGAAACAGATTGCCCAAGATCAGCAGAGAAGGCTGCAGTAGAAACAAGGACCACATCCAGGACTCCAGTTCCTTCCAGCACTGAACTCAGAGACCTGCCTTTCTCTGCGGACCTTAACTGTGGGACCCTACAGGGCATTTAACCCTCTCTCGGCAGAGAATGAAAGCTAAACCCTGAGACGGATCTTCGCCTAATCTGTTCTTAAAAAACGTCCAGTGATGGATATTCATAACCTCTACAGGTCGTCTTTCACCTGTCTTCAGAGGTGCAAAGTTTGATATTAAACAGCTCCCCCTCTCCCAGCTCCACAGGTCACATTTTCTAGACCTGTATCATTCTCGCTGCTTTCTCCTGAACCTTCTGACCAGTCCAAAACTTTTAAATTGGACTCCTGCATCTCCAGCATGTCTTGCAGAGCTAAGTACAAAGATTCCTTCATAGAACTTAGATGTGGCAGTGATCCTGCCCTGTCCATCTTTACCCGATAACATACTGTACTTTGTTCAGCAACCCGTCTGACCTTGGACTGTTAGTGGTCTCCAGGCGCAGGAGTTCTTCACTGCGATGCATTAATTTTTCTCTGAGGATTTAGGAAAAAAAAAAAAAAGAAACCACTGTCTGGCACTTCCTTCTGCTTCCCTCCATTTCAGATAGATGTCCTCTAACAAGGGTATTACTCATAAGTGAGCTGATACTTTGAGTACAGTGTTAATGACTGAAGCTATTAATATAAATTTATTTCCATTCTGCGTTTAAGAGCTTGGAACAAGCCACCAGTATGAAGAGGTCATATGTATTAGTAGAAACAAAACCCTGGGCGGGGTTTCTCTCTCTTCCCTCCCTTGAGTCATTTAGACTCATTTTCCAATTGATCGAGTGAAATAGAGTCGCCTCATCCCAAGACATACATCTAAAATAGGTCTGCTGAATCATGGTCTTTAAGGGTCTTTAGTAACTCAAGATTTCCTTTATTTATTTAGACTCCACTTTCTCCCAACAGCCTTTGCTACTGAGGGAAGGGCCACGGCACAGCCCGGCACTCCAGTCTGTGCAGGGATTCTCAAGACCTCCAAGCGGCTTTCAAAATCAAGTGTTACAACTCCAGAACAAGTAGCACAGGTGCCAGAAAAACCGCGGAGAAATGGGAGCTGAGCATTTACAAATCGCCTCTTGTTTTTGTAGTTTGCAAGGTTCTCAAAATTCATCTGAATTCTCTTCTCCTCTCTCCTTCCCCTGCTATTTCTTCTCGTTCAAAAACAAAGACTGGAAATGATACAGGAGCTGGAACTGTCATAAGCTAAGGAGGACTACGCTTCCCCAGACTCTTTGCCTAATCTACACAAACTGTACGTTCCTCTTAGCTGCTTTGATGTTCTTCCTTCCAGGAGCAAGGGTTAGCCAAGAAGAAAGCAGACAGTCTACAGCTGTTGGAACAGTCATCAGGGCTACTGACAAGCCCAGCTCTGTTTTCCGTGCTCTCTGGGGCAACCCGAGCATCACTTTTAAATCTGCCTCTGTTCAGGAAGCACGTGAATCCAACAAACAAACTCTCCCTCTCAAAGTTACTGCCTAGGAGGAGGATGTGGAGAGTCCGTCGTGGAACAGGCGCATGGAATCCCAGACTGGTTTGGGTGGGAAGGGACCTTACAGACCATCCAGTCCCACCCCCCTGCCCTGGGCAGGACCACCTTCCCCCAGTCCAGGTTGCCCAAAGCCCCGTCCAACCTGGCCTTGAACCCTTCCAGGGAGGGGGCAGCCACAGCTGCTCTGGGCAACCTGTGCCAGGGCCTCACCCCCCTCACAGGGGAGAATTTCTGCCTCAGATCTGATCTAAATCTCCCTCTGTCAGTTTAAACCCATTACCCCTCGTCCTATCCCTCCCCCCTGATGACGAGTCCCCCCCCTTTCCCGCAGCCCCTTTCAGCCCTGGGGGGCCGCTCTAAGGTCTCCCCGGAGCCTTCTCTCCTCCAGCTGAACCCCCCAACTCTCTCAGCCTGTCCTCACAGGGGGGCTCCAGCCCCCCCAGCATCTCCGTGGCCTCCTCTGGCCCCGCTGGAGCAGGTCCGTGTCCTTCTGTTGTTGGTGCCCCCAGAGCTGGACCCAGCCCTACAGGGGGGGCTCCCAGAGCGGAGCAGAGGGGGTGAATCCCCCCCTGGCCCTGTGCCCACCCTGCTCTGGGTGCAGCCCGGCACACGGGGCCTTGCTGGGCTGTGAGCACGCAGTGCTGGCTCACAGTCAGTTTGCCACCCGCTAACACCCCCAAGTCCTTCTCCTTGGGGCTGCTCTCAACCCACTCAACACCCAGCCTGGATTTGTGCTTGGTTCATCTGCTTCCCTGTGGCTATAGGAATTGCTTTCATCTGGCTGCAAAATCCCAGTCTGCGTTCTGCTCCCCTCCTTTCACTCAGGGCACCATTTTTATATTCATTTGTTCATCATCAGTGACTTGGGGCACTTGAAAGAAACCACCTAACAGTTAAAAGAACCATGTGAAAAAATCAATCTCACCTCAACAGCAGATTCTGCACAAGGCTTTTCATACTTAAGCCCCCATCCCAGTAATTTTTCCCAGCATGCGGATTGCATGGTCAGTGTGGTTAATTCTCCTTGTTATTTTCTTCATGCTCAGCTTGCCTGGCAGGCAGTTGTCTTTTTATATCACAAGAATTACTTGTTAGCCTATAAAAAGGAGCTTATTAGCTGGCTTCCACTTTCTGATGATTTCTGCAGGAACGGGTAGATTTGCATGGGGAAAAAAAAAAAATAAAAAATGTTTGAAACACCACTTGTCATCAGATTAAGTGCTCTTTCTTTCTGAGCAATACGGGAATGGCAGGGGATTACGGTAATGGCAAAGATATTGCCTGCTACATCAGCAGAGCAGTAAAGTTACTGCTGCTCCTTGACAGTGTGGAGCTGAGCACCGCAACTGGGGAGGGATCCCTTGAGGGATGCTGGAGTCAAGCCCCTCACAAGCATTAGGATCCAGGGAATCACTGCAACTGGGAGCCCTCAAAATACTCGTGGGGCAATAAAGGGAAAAAAAAAAAAAAAAGCAATGGATTTTCAGGCACAGAGTCCCATCTCTGCATGAAGAGAGAAGCCTGCTGTGTGGTGCTGTGAATCTCCTTTCCAGATGCTCAGAGGAGCTGTGCTGCCTTCTAGAGACTGAAGAGGTGAGTGTGGATTGGGGCAGGCACAAGAGTCCAGGGTATGCTCTTCCCCAAACCATCTGTCTCCATAGGTTGAGTATTATCTGGTTGGTTTTCGGCATGAATGTCTCTGTCGGTGCTTTCTGCTGCATCTCCTTGACTCACTGGGAAGTTTTGCTTCATGTGCTTAAATATCGAGTTTGGTAATTGCTTCATTTCCTTGTCCACCATCCACCCTATAATGGCCACAGTTATAACGGTTAGAGATGCTTGAGGTAACAGCCACTTTTCATTTATATGCTTAATAAAATCTGTCCTTTTCTTTCTTGGAATTATTCTTCAACTTCTTCCCTCTCACAGGGAAGAAAATCTGAGCTCTGGTTTCATTTCACTGCACAGAAGGCAAATTCCCACAGTGCAATACCTTTTCATCTCCCTTCCCCCACCCTCCCTGCTTGTGAACTGGGAATTTCGAGGGTTCAGAGTTTTAAATGCCTTTGCCTGCAGAAAAAAAAAAATCGGGTTTGAGATTCAGTTATGTGACAGCTGTTGCTGCTCAGTGTTTCTGTAAAGTGCAATCTGAGGGACTCATCTGAAAGACCTAACATTAGGAGATTTACAGAGCCCTACCTTATCTCACATTTAACAGTAGTCTTGGTGGTTTTTTTCACGTGTCTGATGAATACTTCGGATGGGAACACTATACCCACATCTAGGTGCTATGAAAAAGCTTTTTAGCAGCTTTCCCCTTCGCACCCCCCGTGTCTCAGTTCCCAGGCTTACCCTCACTTTTCCATCTGATGTACCTTTTCTCCATATTTAGTCAGCTAAGGCTGAGCTTGGCTTCCAGCTACTCTGAAACGTTGTGTCACTCAGTAGGAAAGTTGTTCCTTGCAACATCTTCTGCTTGGCAAGAATTGCTTTTCCCTATAGATTTCCAAAATGGACAGTTTAGCTGAACTAACAACCAGTTCAGTGAGTAAAGGATTCACTTAATAAATAAATCTCTAAGTTCTGGGTTTATAAATCTGCTTCACAGTTTGTAGTCCCGAATTGAGTCCCACAGGTTTCTCTCTCTCCTAGAACTGGTCTCTGCAGGTGAACTGATAATTAGGATTGATTACTATCCCTAAAGGAGCACAGACTAATGCTGAGAACGTGGCGAGAAAATTCAGGCAACAAAATCCATGTTGGTCTCTTAGTTGTTGTTAAACAATACTGGGCTGAAAAAGGTTGGTTCAACTGGCTGGAGCCAGCTCGAGGAAGGCTCCCTAAAATAGCGTCCCGCTCTATTCTTATATGGGAACCATAACAGTAAGTGAATGTTGCTTCTGGGAATCACATTGTTTGTGTCTTTGTCTCCTTCAGGGCAGCGATGACCTGCACAGAGCACACAGCCTGCAGCGCTGACATGGCAAACTTCACCCTCCCCTTCAGAGCAAGCCAGAAACTGATGTAAATGAACTTGAACTCGTAGCCCAGGACCTCAAGTGATAACTGCTCCACAGCATGGGGGAGCTTTAACTGACGCTTCAGACCCTCAAGATGGGTAGCGGCAGGTATCTCAAACGACATTGCTGAGTGGACACAGAAGCAGCAGCCTTCACCTTGCCAGGTTTCTAAACCAGTTATAAGGCAGAATCAGGACTAACACAAGGTAATTAAAAGCACCGGTGATTTCCTCTAGGACGAAACTTAAATTTAAGACTCTTTGGAATATTTATGTTACTTAGATATCGAATCCACCCAAAAAAAACCCCCAAAAATGGTTTTAACCTGCAATTCCAATATTTCTTATCATGTAATCCTGGAAAGTAGGATAAATAGCCTCAGTTTTGCGTAGCCTCACTTCTGCACCCCAAGAAAAAATGCAAATGGAGTTATCTCTGACTTGGAAATGGTTGTTATTAACTGTGCTGTAATGGTAGAAACTTAGGGAGAAAGGTAGATTTTCTAACATGTTTCTGGATCCTTCTCATTGTTCCTGGTGCTGCACTTCTAAGACATCCTTAAAACCTCTTTTCCCCAGCAAAGCCAGGCAAATGTTTCCTGTAGGATCTCCGAGAACTGATCTCATCACTCTCTCTACCTGACAGGGAAGTGAAGTACATCAGCCTCGCATGAACACAACCAGCCACTCACCATGGCTTCCCTCCCTGGAAACTCCTCCGACTGCTCCAACTGCACCCACTCTGTGGGGCCTGTGAACATTTCAAAGGCCATTTTACTAGGTGTTATTCTAGGGGGGCTGATAGTTTTTGGGGTTTTGGGTAATATCCTGGTTATCCTCTCTGTAGCCTGCCACAGACATCTTCAGAGTGTTACCCACTACTATATAATTAACCTGGCTGTAGCTGACCTCCTCCTGACTTCCACTGTCCTGCCCTTCTCAGCTACTATGGAGATTTTGGGCTACTGGACCTTTGGGAGAATCTTCTGCAACATCTGGGCAGCTGTAGATGTTCTGTGCTGCACTGCTTCCATTATGAGCCTCTGTATCATCTCGATAGACAGGTACATCGGGGTGAGCTACCCACTGAGATACCCAAGCATAGTGACAGAGAAGAGAGGCCTCCTGGCCTTACTGTGCGTCTGGGCGTTGTCTCTGGTAATATCCATTGGGCCTCTTTTTGGCTGGAAGGAACCAGCACCAGAAGACGAGACAATCTGTCAAATCACCGAGGAGCCTGGCTACGTGTTGTTCTCTGCTCTAGGCTCCTTCTACCTCCCCCTGACTATTATCTTGGTGATGTATTGCCGAGTGTATGTAGTGGCCAAAAGGGAAAACAAAGGTCTGACTTCTGGTCTGAAGACAGAGAGATCTCATTCCGAAGAAGTGACTCTCCGGATCCATCGTAAAAATGCTCCTGAAGGGAGCAGATCGGCGTCCAACCCCAAGAGCAAGCATCACTTCTCAGTGCGCCTCCTCAAGTTCTCAAGGGAAAAGAAAGCTGCCAAGACCCTGGGAATAGTTGTGGGATGCTTCGTTCTCTGCTGGCTTCCATTTTTTGTAGTAATGCCACTTGGTAAGTAAAGCAAACCCCTCTACCTTATAGAGCACTTTCCCTGGAGGGAGGGCCGTGTTCGTGCTTCTGTACAATAATGCTGACCAGAAAAGCTCTAAGGGAATAATTTCCTATTGCAAAGCTGTCAAAATCAAAACGTTCGCCATCACAAAGCAGTGAATGTAAAAAATGAAAGTCTCAAGTGAAACAAAACATCTGTGCTGATGATCAGCATAAAATTCTGAGAATAATGAAAAGGATTTAATACTCTTTTTCCATGTAGAAAATACTCTTCCAGAGCTCGGACTTATTTCTGACCGACTCTGCTATATTAGATGTGTGGGTTTATAGCTAAGTTTGCAGCCAGTCCTTCAGGTGTAAAAGATGTAAAAGGTCAAGCTATAAATGCATTCAAGGTCAAAATAGCTGTTCACAGACCTGGGGCCAGAACTCCTGGAGTGCAACTAATATTCCCCACTATAAGGAAAAAAAAAAAATAATAAGCTTCCTATCAGGAAATCCACACTATGAGATACCATACTCCAAATCAAATGAATGTATTTTTTTAAATTTATTGTATGACCGGCCAGAAGACAGCAGTGAGGCTCCTTCAGAATAATTTTATACTTCTCTGGCTTGCATCTATTGTGGAAACCCACTGAGCCCACTGGCCAAACGCTGGCTTCAACCATCACGCTGAATATGAATATTTATTCACCAGCTGTAATTCTAAAGCAGAGGAAAGTCAGGGATTTGTTCTGCTTTGCTATCACTGAAATATAAAAAAAAAAGTAATTAGAATTTTAATTAAGCCTTGCTCAGTCACCTCTGATGCGATTTCAGGACTTAAAAGCAGAATACTAATTTCATACCTATATGCGAGCGTGAGGTATGTATGTGGCGCATCACGCTGAAGTTTGCTCTGAAGCAGCTGTACTAAGGATCAGTTTTCGAAACACGGAACCTCGTTTCTGTGACTTGCTCAATTTCGGTAACTTTGCTTATGGAAAGGGCTTGTGCTGTACAGAAAAAATAAGGTCAGATTGTGGGGAAGTTTTAGCTAGTAACAGAAAAATGTGTGCAATTAAGAAAAAAAGAAAGAACAGCCTTGCCTAAACATGAAAAGAATGATTCGGGGATTTATTTTTTTTTTTTTAAACCTTATAAAAAGCTGATTTTTTTTTCAACTAACTTCAATCAGATTTACCAAGATTACCAGGTTGCTTCCCAAAAACCTGTTGCTAATGTTGCCATGTGAAAAAAAAAAAAAAAAAAAAAAAAAAATCTTTTCTGCTGGTCGATATTGGAAAGTGCTGGAGTACGAGATGTAGACGTTTCGTAAGGAGAAGCCCTGAAAGGCCTGGCTCGTGCTGTCCAGGATGTCAGCATGTTGGAATGCTGGTTGCCAAGATGTCTGAAACATACCCAAAAAGGGTTTGCGAGAACGCGTTAAACACACTTCTTTTCATCTGCAAATGTGGTTGTCCGCACAGAGCTGTCGTTAATTAATTTGCTTTGGGTTTAAGAAATTTTACTGAACTCAGGCTTTGCATCTTTCTTTCATCCTTTATAAGGAAACTTCCTTGAGGTTAGTTACCCTGTCTTTGTGGGGTTACTACGTTATTTTTAAAACATATGTTTTCAAAACCTATTTGCTACTTTTGTTTAAAGAGAGAGAAAACCATTAAACAGACAAGTGGCACAAAATAACATCTTGGAAAAAAAAACCAAACAAACAACCACCAAACAAACCAACCAAGGAAACATCTTGAGACAGACTGTCCCACCCACCCAGAGATGTCCACGTGGCACTCTGCACCCATACCAAGCAGAACACTCGCCAGGAGTGTTCCACTGCCCAGTAACCATCACCAGACCTATTCTGCAGGCAGGTGAAGATAGGCTTAGGGAGGAGAAGCGATCCCACCAAGACCACGCAGCAGATTAGTGGCAGAGATCAAGCTTTCCAGCTCCGCAGAGCACTGTGGCCAAAGAGTTGTGGCCAACTGTGGCCAACACAGCTGGCCAAGAACTTTGTTGGGCAGCAGACCAGGTCTGCAGCTTTCTGGCTATGGGACGGGCTTATAAATGGTCCCGTCAGTTCACTTCTGTCATCTGTAGGAGCTGTAGCCTTTTAGAAGCACGTCCTCAACTAAGATTGCCCACTCTTACACTGTGCTACACAAACCACTGGCAGGCGCTTGCCACGCCGTGCAACAGGAGCTCCCAAAATGTAAATTTATTTTACTATGATCTCCAGCACCTTCAGGATCCCCATGTCTATTAACATCAACTCTACCAGCTAAGAACTGAGGTAAAATAGGAAACACCAGGCTTGTTAAAAGTGTGTAATACATGGAGGTAGAAACTTGTGGGGTGTAGGTGTGGGAAGGGTGATAGAGGATATCAAGAAGGGGATAGAGACGTGACATCTGTACTGGTAGATGCTGCTGAAAGTGACTGGGGCACCAGTCTGAGTGTCCCTGCCATGGGACAATATCTTCATTGAAATCGGTATGTGAAGTTGCCCGTTGCGATCTGAGGGGTGTCTGTCTTACCTTCTCAGATGGACGGAGTTTCGGTCCAGACAAAGGGTCTGTTCACAGGTTTTCAGTGCCATAGTCCGATACACCTTCTTCTCACTTTACTTTGATGCTTGTGGAGTGAGCCAGGGAATGATAATCCTGTTGCATGAAGATAACCGAGGTTAAGATTTATATTTTCACCGCATGCTGGAGGGCAAACCCACCCTTCACGAAACTTCTGCAAAATAAAAGTGTGTCAAAACAGCTGATTTCCCCTGGAAAGCGTCAGGTTTTCTCTTTTGAATGTGCTTTCTCTCCCTCTTTAGAGATGACCAGTGGATCCGCTCTTAGTCTCAAAGCTTTTCTGTAAAAGCTTCTTTGAACTCAACGGGTCTTCACAAATGGTGTAGCAAACCCTCCCAAGTCCAAGCTCAAGTGTATCCCAACTAGATCTGCAGTCTTTGTAGCTCCCTAATTAAATCTCAGTTCCTCTCTAGACACATCGCTCTCCTAAAGCAAGGAGAGGTCCTTTGCCATGATGATAGTTTAGGGAAGGCTTAGACCAACTGAAATGCAGGCTAAAAGGTACCTAAACTGGGGTTTAAAGAGAACCAGCAAGAACTGTGAGGTCCTTTATGCCCATTAGCCTCTATGTACGACACCTCTTCTTACTGAGCTTGAATTCTGGCTCTGCTCCACAGCAGTGCGAGTCTGATGGTATAAAGTTATTTTTATTCTGCAAACCTTCCTCTGCATTGCTGCTACCCAAGTGAGACTGCAAACCTGTTGCTGAATTAACCTTATTGGGGGAATTCTGCAAAGACTCTTCCTATAAATGTCATTACCTAACGGTAATCACGTCCAATACATTAACCCTCGTATTAGGGTGCAAAGAAAACTGAGGTCCGTGTACATCCTCAGCTCTCTGCAACTGCTTCCCAAGCAGAAGATTTGCAGATATGTCCACTAAACTCTCCTCATTCTACCCTAGGCACCCACCTTTCCGTAAGGATAGGCATACAAGGGATATATATTCAACAGAAGGAAATGTTAGTCTTCTGAATAAATTGTTTGCCTGTTTAGGAGCTCTAAATACTTTCACTCGCTGCCACTTGTTTAGTAGAGGCTGATGTTTGCACCGAGCAGACTACGAGAGCATCCCACCCCATCCAGGCAGTTTATTATTCAGCCCTTCAGAGAAGGCAGCTGGAAAGGATGTTTCCTTGCTTACCGTAGGGCTATTGCTCTCATATCATCTTCTACACCCGTCGCATCATTTTCTCATTCTCTTCTGCAACACTTAATCACCATATTCGCAACCGCCAGCCACTTACTAGGGACTTGAGCTTCCCCATGTAACAACTCACGTTAATTTACAGGGCAAGAACAGCTTTAAGAAGTTTTTTAGTCCCGACCTTCCCACGTTGGTTACCCCATGCTTGGCTCCTTTCTCAAAGCTCTGAAGCACTCCATTCAAATGGGAGGAGGGCAAGCCAGGTGTCACCAAAACCTTCTTCTCACCAAGTTTCTTTTTTTTTTTCCAAGTGAGGTATAAAGTGAAGCCTCGCATCTCTTCTCAAAGTTCTTGAAGATCTTCTTTGACATGTTGCCAAAATCTGTTAAGATCTTGGGAGGGGGAAAAAGTGCCCTAACGTAAGCAATATTGCTTTCCAGATTGGAGCATCCCATATTCTCTTCGGCACTAGCAAACAGGGAGTGCTTGAAGCTGAACTAGAAACCTGAGAACTTGAACGTCAAGGAGCAGCAACAGCAGGGCTGCCCCAGGAGGAAGGAAAACCCAGGACAGCACAGGCAGGAGCCACGTCCTCCCCAAAAGCGTGCACTCCCCATATCCGTGCAGAAGCAGGCAGAGATAGCGTCCATCACCTGACGGTGCTGTAATCACCAAACACAAACCAACAAAACAGAGGCAGGAAAGAAAAAAGCTTGTCTACATCACTCAGAAAGGGTTAATGAGAAGAGCCTGACCCTACACACAGCTCCCATGCCAGTGGCAGAGGGCTTGTGGGTAGGAGCCAGAAATGAAGCTCATCTAGGCAGTTAAGGCCCTTCCATTTCTGATTTTTGTTTTCCCCTTGTTAGAAAGGGATACGGACAGACATAGGAAGAAATTCTCAGAGCTAGAAGAGTCCTGAAATTCAGCGCGTGCCCTCAACATCACCTTGGAAAGTGGTGCCAGCCGACAGAGCAGACCTTTTGCCGTAGCTGGAAGACACTTAATGGTCGCTCTGGGAGTTTTTCAGAAGGTTTATTCTCGACAACATAGATGACGGTGCTTGGAGGTTGTTTTGAGGCGAAACATGCACAGAACTGAAGGAAAAAAAGCAAAAAGGGCTGGGATATTACAGCAATGGTCCTAAGCTGGGGTTGATGGTTCATCTTAACAAACCCTCAGAAGCGAACAGACTTAGAGAACTTTGCCGCTCGCTTTCTGTGGCAAGCTGTCTTAAATCGATCTGGTGGTGGATGTTGTGT